GTCTTGGCTGCACATGTTCACTGGCAGCCATTGTCTTGGTCCTCAGAAGGAATGCAATAGTTAGCTGGGGTAATCCTGGACAAAGAGTAACCTAGGAACCTTGCCTATAGGGAACGAGAGCAGCCACCCAGATTTGCACAGCCTGGCTCCTTCGAGTATGAGTATGCCATGCGCTGGAAGGCACTCATTGAGATGGAGAAGCAGCAGCAGGACCAAGTGGACCGCAACATCAAGGAGGCTCGTGAGAAGCTAGAGATGGAGATGGAGGCTGCACGCCATGAACACCAGGTCATGCTAATGAGACAGGGTGAGTCTTGGCCTATAAGTCTTAAATCTGAAAGGACAAAATGACTTTTTAAAATGAGTTTATTTGTATCAATTACCAGAAAGGCCTAGATCTCTGATTTTATACCTAGAAGTATTCTGTGTTGATTTTGGTACATAAATAGGGTTGGAGATGTGGCAGAGATGCTGGATTCTGTGGAGAAGGAAATGATAGGTTCAACTTCATTTTGGAATCTGGACACCACAGGTGGCACCAAAGGAATTACATCCTCTTTGCCCTCTGGATCTTTATTGATAGAAAGTCATTAGATCTATATGAAGGCAATGAGAAATGTTCTCAGTCTGTTGTTTCCTTAGATTTGATGAGGCGCCAAGAAGAACTTCGGAGGATGGAAGAGCTGCATAACCAAGAGGTGCAAAAACGAAAGCAGCTGGAGCTCAGGTAACTTTTCTCGAACTCTTTTTCCCTGACAACTCTAAAAGGTAATGTCTCATTCCTCTTTCCTACTGCCATGCTACCTCATGCATTTGTAAACATGTTGGCAAATATTTCCTGGCTGCTTCTCGGGTTCTCTATTTGGTTTGGAGATGTTTAGCTGCCCATGGTTCGGGGAGTTAACCTGCTAAAAAGAAAGCAACTGAGTACTGGTCTCATGAGGTTCCTTTGGGGATTGCCTCAGGGCTAGGCACACTTAACAGTGAGTTTCCTGGTGAACTGTGATAGTTTTCAGTAGGCCTGTCTCCTTGGCTGAATCCCCTATTAATCTGCTCAAGTTCTGAAATGCCTCTGTCTTAATGCCTTGATGACTCTCCGTAGGCAGGAGGAAGAGCGCAGGCGCCGTGAAGAAGAGATGCGGCGACAGCAGGAAGAAATGATGCGGCGACAGCAGGAAGGATTCAAGGGAACCTTCCCTGATGCGGTATATCTCCCATGTACCCATGATGTACCAGGCCAGTTGTGATAAGCCTGACTCACCATGAATTGTCTGCTAGGATACCGGTTATAACCAATTTTCCTGTGTTGTGAAATAGCACTTTAGAAAAAAGAATTCATGAGAAGGAGAGGTAAGGTTTGAAGAGGAGTTCTTTTTGTTGTTGTTGTTGTTGTTGTTGTTGTTTTGAGATAGAGTTTCACTCTTGTTGCCCAGGCTGGAGTGCAGTGTCGCAATCTTGGCTCACTGCAGCCGCCGCCTCCTGGGTTCAAGTGATTCTCCTGCCTCAGCGTCAGCTGACTAGCTGGGACTACAGGCATGCCATTCCCAGCTAATTTTGTATTTTAGAGGCAAGGTTTCACCATGTTGGTCAGGCTGGTCTTGAACTCCTGATCTCAGATGATCTGTCCGCCTCAGCCTCCAAAAGTNCTCAGATGATCTGTCCGCCTCAGCCTCCAAAAGTGCTGGGATTGTAGGTGTAAGCCACTGCGCCTGGCCCAGATAGCAGTCTTGAGGACTGCTGATATCCATTAAATGTAACCTCAAGGTCTCTATTTTTGAATCTTGAGCAAACTCGGACTCTATACTTAATCTAGGAGTTAAGTAAATGCCACTGTCTGACTGGCCAGTCTGACTGTGTAGTTGCTACTATGGGTGACAGGTTGTGTTTTGGAGGGAAGTTGACGCAGGGTAGGCATTATCACATAAAATAGTTGTGAATCCAAATACTTCATGGCTCCTGCAATCCTGAGGTTGCTTTGGTTGTGGTGTTAAAAATTAATCATGCCCGTTTCCCGGTCAGGGAACCAAAAGAAAAAAATTGATAATGCCAAAACTGGATAGTTTTTTGAGACAGAGTTTTCATTCTTGTCGCTCACGCTGGAGTACAATGGTGCAATCTGGGCTTACTGCAACCTCCGCCTCCTGGGTTCAAGTGATTCTCCTGCCGTAGCCTACTGAGTAGCTGGGATTACATGCATGTGCCACCATACCCAGCCAAAACTGGATATTTTAAGATAGCCTGCCCTTGTGTAGATACTTAGCTCAGGAAAAAGGATTTGGCTATAACAGCTAACCTAGGAATTTAGGATTGTATGTGATGTTGCTTAGTCATTAGTGGCTAAAAAGTTAAAGGTAAGATGATTGGTTAAGTCCCTAATTCAGACAACCTTTTGGGGTTATCCTCTAAACAGACTTGATCACTCACTCCTGCTATCAGGATCCTTGAATAGTTGAATGGAAATGGCCTCCAGTGGAGGTACTATAGGTAGGTGGGAAGCTTAGAACAATGACTCTTACAATATTGCTCTTTTTTTTCTCTTTAAGACCCCACCAACAACTGAGCGCTTTGGTCAGGCTGCTACAATGGAAGGAATTGGGGCAATTGGTGGAACTCCTCCTGCATTCAACCTGCATTCAGCTTCTGGAGCTGAATTCGCTCCAAACAAACGTCGCCGATACTAATAAAGTTGCAGTGTCTAGTTTCTCAAAACCCTTAAAAGAAGGACCCTTTTTGGACTAGCCAGAATTCTACCCTGGAAAAGTGTTAGGGATTCCTTCCAATAGTTAGATCTACCCTACCTGTACTATAGAGAGTGTGCTGGGGCAGAGGGCAAGGGAGGGGTGGTATAAACATATCATGCGTGGTATAATGTTTAATCAGTTCTGTGTGGTGCATTCCTGAAGTCTCAAATGTGATTGTTGAGTGCCTGGGGTAATCATGGCAAAGTGGATCCAGTTAGAGCCCATTAATCTTGAACATTCCGGGTTCTTTGTTTTTTCTTTTCTTTTTTTTTTTTTTTGTTTTTTTTTTTTTTTTTTTTTGCTTCCCGCCTACCTGGAGACAGAGTCTCTCTATCACCCAGGCTGGAGTGCAGTGGTGCCATCTTGGCTCACTGCAACCTCCGCCTCCCGGGTTCAAGTTTGTCCAGGCTGGTCTTGAACTCCTGACCTCGTGACCCACCTTCCTCAGCCTCCCAAAGTGCTGGGATTACAGGCGCGAGCTACTGTGCCCAGCCTCATTTGCTTTCTTATCCTTAACACTCCCCCAGCCCCAGAGAAACTGCCACATACACCACAAAAACCAAACATCCCCCAATGACCTTAGCCCCATTGCTCCATTCACTCCCAGGTGAGAATTCAGGCAGTCCACAAAGGTCACAGGCAATGAACATACGGTTGTGTTATATCCCATATATTACCCCTTCATGTCCT